TATATAAACAATGGAGTAGATTTCATGTAATAAATTCTGATTAACTGGGATTGGGAACAAGATAAGATAAATTCTTTTCACTTGAGCTATGAAATACTATATTACAAACCAAACCTGAATTGGAAATTAAAAGGCTAGAAGACTTCACTGTTGCAACTATTCATCTCTGCCACTGTAGTGAGAAAGCAGCCACCGACAACATGTAGATGGATGGGCATGGCTGTGGTCCAATAAAACTTTATTTACAACACAGGTACCAGACTGGATTTGGTCCATCAGCTGTAGTTTGCTGACCCCTGCTATATTTCCTAAGCTGATGAGAACAAAGCTGGTGTTAGCGTTTGAGGACTGGATTGAAAGATTAGAATCAGTGTTATTTGTTACTTGTAGGATATTCCACATATGATTTAAGTGGGATCGCTGTGAATCTTTATTCTTGACTAATCTGTCTGCCTCTTGTTGATAACCCCCCCACAGTTCTAAGTAGTGTTACACCACTCTTCTTCACAGAGGAGAGAGGCTGATTTCTGATCCCTCAGCCATTGTCTGACATGAACTCATGGTCTCTTCACCAATACCATTATGCACATAACAGACCATTGCCTAATAAAATTTAAATAGATGTTTATTATTTCCATTCTCTGAAAAAATGGAACACAGTCATGATTTTTTCCCCCATTTTTGCCTTCTAATGGGTACCCTGTTCTTCTGGCATTACCAGGTAACTTTGTTTAAATATTAGACAGAAAAAGCACGTATATACTTTAGCACTTTGGCAATCCAGTATTTTTGGCTATTACAAACTTCTGTAAGTCTTTCATTTCTGTTTCACATTATGAGGAATAATGCATTTCTTTATCCTGGATTCTTTCTGTCTGCCCTGTTCTTGGTATTAGTTGAAGTATTAAATCATGGGTGCCAATAATAACAAGCATCCTTACTTGACCTTTCCTGTTAGAGAAGGTAGGATGCTGGAGTATGCACATTCTCTGCTCACGCTGAGAGTTAGGACAGGCCACTTACATGGCTTAAATGATTGGAAATAAACCAAGAAATCTTTGACTGGGAAGATGACCTTTTCTATTCAGTTGTACAAGTTGTCCTGACAGTTTGGGACCATATATCCAGCAAAGTAAAAAATATTTACTATCTGGCTTTTACAGAAGTCTGCCAACCCCTGAAATAGAGCTTTGCCACAAGTTGAGTATATACTGTTATGGGGATATATGCCAGATGGAATACTAAGCTGAATGTATCATGAGATATAGTTAGAAGAGATATGACTTGACACTAGTAAGAAGTTAAGAGGCAGATAACGTGCTATGTTGTCAAGCTAGCAACAAAGACGACCTGTGTACTAAAATATTTGAGGACTTTGACTCAGCTATATGATACTTCTGGCACAGGTCTGCTCAATATAGTGCTGAATGAGGACAAAATGAGTGATGGAGCTGTTAGGAAAATTTCAAGACATTGTTATAACTGTAGAAATGACTGTGTGATAGTTACTTCTGATTTAGCCAGTGTTGTTGCTTAATCCCATTAAGTGTACTTTTAAATCCCTGCAAGAGTGCTGGCAAAATATCAAGCATTTAAAACTGAATTATGAAAATGAAAAACATTGAAAGCATTGTTTTAATCTACTGACTCAGCCCTCATCTGGATATATGACTAATCCCAATTAGCCTCTGATCCAGACAGGTCAGTATATATTCATGAGAAGAAGCTAAATTAACCTAAAGATGAAAAGGGTCTTTTTCTTTTTTTTTCCAAAAGAGATGAGACCTCTTCAAAGGAAATTATCCCAAATTTGTGAAGTATGCTGTGCTTTGGATCACGAATGCCATATTTCTATTAGAACTTACCTGCCATCGAATACCTGAGAATCTAAAAATACATGTCAGAATGTCAGAAGGAGCTGAATAAACAGCTTTTTTTTTTTAAGGACAAATTGAGACAAAAACCATTATGATGTTTTGTTGACCAGCCAAGAATATATGTGGGAAGAAAGAGCAAAGGAATATGGGGGGTATGCAGGTCTTTCCCCCATACCCAAACTGCCACCCATCACATCAGACCTGGGGAAAGACGGAGAGGGGCTTGTGGAAGTCAGCTGTGCTGGGATCATTTCTAGCTACTGAAAGAGCAACAGGAACACCCCGCCCTTTCTCTTTCCCACCCTTCCTCCCCCTGCCCCCCACCCCTCATTAAGCATCGAGTTTAACAAGATAAGCTATTCAGAGAGAAACAAACTATGAAGTTACTAAACTTCCTTTTCTTTCCCACCCAACAGTTAGAGAGATTGAGGAAAAACAAGCCTGGCATGGAAGTGGGTATGTGCCCAGGGCGTGGCAACAACTGCATGAATTTGCTTCTCCAAACAAAGCCCATCTTCACAGGCACAGACACGCAGGTATGTTACAAACAAAAAAGGAAACAGAGAGGGAGACAGAGAGACAGAGAGAAGAAAAAAGAGGAAGAAAAGAAAGACCAAATGTTTTAGTTATTAATTCCCCAGACTATTCCCTCTACCTTCCAGTATGTTTGAAGATCAAAAGAAAAGTGCTTTAAAGACCAACTCATGGTCTATGTCTAAAACCAAGTCACACTATACAAAGAAGGGAGGAAAACTCAGTTATAATTGATATGTGAGCCAAAGGAAGCAGTCCACACAGGAACAATGCGGGCCAAATGGGCTACAAAGGCTCCCCATTCTAACACTTGTATTCTGTAGCTGAGCGTGGGTCAATCTGGCTATCGAGGAGTTATTTTAATCCATGGTTTACACTCCCTTCCCCACTCCTGAATCTTCCCATACTTAACAGTGCTATAGAAACAGTGAGGCCACTGGCAGGTACCATCAGTCACCTCCAAACAGAACTGGGTCACAACATTCCTGCAATTGCTAGTTACAACAATCTGACAGCTGAAAGAGAGGGCAACCTGGACAGTAATTATTTTTAATTTTGATTAAACATCCGGGTGATCATAAGGTCTAAAACGTGCTCTGAACTTCCTCCTTGGCCTCTGTTTCATGTCACTTCCCATTTCCCCATCTCCTGTCCTCATTGGTATGTCCCTGCTATGTTCCTTCCTGTCACCAACTTCATATTTATAGAAACTTTATTTAAAATTACTTGCATGGTTTCTAGAGCCATCCTGGAAGATGCTATATAAATCTCACAGGAAGACTAGTAATAGTACAAGAGAGAAGTTCCTCTGTTTCCCAATTTGCACAACTATATGTGATAATTTACTTCTCCTTTCCCCTAGCTCTCAATTAGACCTTTTGGCAGTACTCCTGCAATGACACATTTTCATGTCATGGACAATGAAAAATTACTTGTAGGTTGCAAGCAAGTAGAGAAGAGAGGCCTGGACACTACATACAGAAGAAGGTTGCTTAACCACATCACATTAAAGAGTAGTTCCTTAAGAGATCACACAGTAAGTCACTGGGAAGATTAGCATGCTCTGGATAAAAAGAAAAAGAATGCTGTCATGGTTTCTGTCATCAGGCTATAAATGTTTTTTTATAAAATATCTTTTTCCAGTGGTTAATAAAGAATTGGACTTCTGGTGCCAGCCAGGATGGAATAAGCCCAGTTTAACATATTCAGATTACAAATAGGAACTCTGACCAAAATACAAAATACAGAAAGCAACTACTTCTGGAAAAAACGTAGCAGAAGGATTGGTGAGGAAACCCAAAATGTAAAGAACCACCAAATGACAGCAAAATCATGGAGGCCTGAAGGCAGCAGGATATCGTTATTAAACTGTTGAAAGGGAAGAATTATCAATGCAGAATCCTATATACAATGAAGATATCCTCCATGAATGAATGCAAAATAATGTCATTTCCAAATAAGGGGAAATAAATCCCAATCTTAAGTATTTACCCAAGTGAAGTGAAAACCTACCTTTACACAAAGATTTTTATGTGAATGTTTAGAGCAGTTATATTCAAACCTGAAACAAACCAAATGTTCCTCAACTGGGGAATGGATACACCAAGGATGGTACATCCACACAATGGAACACAACTCAGCAGTGAAAGGGAAAAGTTATTGATATGTGCAACAACACGGCTGAATCTCAGATGCATTACGCTACGTGAGAGAAGCTGGACTCAAAAGGCTGTATGTTGCATGAGTCCATTTACATGGTGTCTGGAAAAGGCAAAGCTATGGAAATGGAGAGACTGCCAGGGGTTTAGGGGATGGAAGGGCTTGACTGCAGAAGGGTAACTACAGAGAATATTTTTTTTGCAGCTGTTGTTTATCTTGAATGTAGTGGTGGATGTTATGTGCCTCTATGTTTTGTTAGAACTCATAAAACAGTAACCAAAATTACTGTCAATTTTATATATTAAAGAAAAAATTTAAAAATAGAGAGCTTGAGATCTTGACACATTTTTCCTGAGGAAACTTTCTGACAATTTAATTACCTAACTGCATTTACTTACATATTCATAAGCAGAAAATCATTCCCCAATATAATGGCAAATGGCCCAGCTTTAATTGAAACCTTTGTTATAAAAAGTTATTTGAAAATAAAATCTATTTGGTCTTCACACATTTTTGGGAAAATTCAGAAACCTTCAGAACAGAATAGTACCACGCATGTCTTCAATGTATGAATTTTGACATGAATTTTAAGATTCTTGACAGTTACATAAACTTCCAATTCCCTATTATGAACATGGTCATACAGTCAAAATACTTATTTCTGAATTGGTGTTTAAAATAAACAGACACTATCATAACTGTTGTAATGCACATACAATTACATCATTATCACCATCATCAGTATTACTACTACTACAGTACAACTATTCAGGGGAAAAAACAAAATCATGCAATTAAACCACGGGCTCTGTCTTGCTGCTTCTAACATGGACCTAACCAGTTTTCCTCAGGCTTGCCATATTGATCTATGCTCACTGGGGACTGGCAGAGTAAAAATGTTTGCATGTTCAAGATTAGATTTTAACATACCCTGTCAAAGAGTGCAAAAAGTTGTCTCAAGACATCTGAAACAGGTAACTTTAAATACTCTGCAAATTCCTCAATTCCGATTCTTCCGCCTTTTGACGAACTTGCAATTGCTGCGTATTCATCCAAATGCTTGCGGATACCGTCCCAATCTAACCTGAATCGAAAATGATAAAAGGCATGTTACTAGCCCTTCGTACTTCACATGGACATTTTATGAACACTGTTTTAATCCTTTGTCTGAGGAAAAATGTTTTAAGTGTTAAAAATGAAAAGGAGAATAAAATGGGAAAGTACATATTGAACATGCATACAGGCTTCTAATTTTTTAAAGGATGTTAGTGTAACTGAAATTATCCCAGATATCTGAGGGAAAGAAAAATAACTGAGGAGAAGAGCAATGTGGCAGAAGAATAAATGACTCATGAAAAGAAAATAAGAAATCACATTTTAACCTAAATATTTCTTAGTAAGTCAATAGTACTTATTGAGTTGTTAAAAAAACAATTCTTGCTTTCAAGGGGCTTTCAGGCTGCATGAACTCACATTTCATAAAATGTTGTGGTAGGGAGATTCATTTGACTCTACTCTTCCTCCAATATGCATTATAAAACACTGGAAAACATACTGTAGCTCCTGTTTTTGTTTTGTAGAATTAATCAGGTGACTGAACACATACTTGATTATCCAATTTCAGTGACTATCTAAACTTTTCAAATTATAGGAGTAATATGAACACAATATCGAAACATTTTTGCCATCTAGAAGATATAAATAATATTTGCTATATCTGTTATCAAAATATTATTTTTTAATATTGAACTTTAATACAGTAAGTGGTTCTGCAGCTCCCTCTTGGGGAGGAGGTCAAGGCCTCTTAAATCAATGAATTCTGCCAGTCCCTAATATGGCTGAAAACTGAATGAACTATGATAAGAGGGGGACTTAGAGGCTATACTTTTTCATGCCAGATAGTTCAAAGGGAATGTTCTAAGAAGGATTAAATTAGATCATTAAAGCACAAAGGAGTGTCTTTGCCTTTTTCAAAAATAAGTATGTACCCAGAAGAAAAAGGTAGCTCTAGGGTAACTATTTAAAATTCCCTGATGGTCAGAAGTGGTACTCCACAAGTCAATTCATATTTCACATGAGAGATTCTGACCACCCCACGCTCGTATCATCCGATTATATCCTTCTTAGAAGAAGGTAGCGGGACAGACTAACTACTCTGAGCCATTTCTGAGTAGGGAGGCAGACCTGTGCTTATCCACTTTTACTACCTCTTAGTCTCCTTGTATGACCAATACATGTATTTCTGAATTAAGTGTTCTTGAGAAAACTCAACCAGATGAACTAAACGGGAGATAAATTCACAACCCTGGCTTCCTTAAAAAACACCATGTAGGTTCTAGTGCTGGGTGTTAATGAAAACAAATAAAATAAATATACCAGATTTCAGACCTCTTTTGGGCACCTTTATGAAAGTATAATAATTTTAAAACACACTTACTTCAATTTCCGGCTAATTTTGGTAAATTCCACCAAGCCAGCTTCCATAGGTAATGTTAGCTGCCCTGCTGAAATCATCAATCTACAGTCTTCATAGGTGTGATCTGTTACTGGAATTCCCAGAGCTCTGGAAGTGTGAAAAACAAACTGAAATTCAATTTTGTTTTTAAAGGTAAAAATGATTTTTCATTAGGCCTGAATTGGAAAACAAACAACAGTAAATGGAAAAGTATTTACCACTTTTTAAACTGGTAGCTTTGGTTTTTATGGCCAAAGAAACCTATTTCTCTACTTCACAGACTTACTGTGGCCGAGTTAATCTCCATATGCCCACATGCTTCTGTTAGCTGTTCATTTTTGTTTTGTGCTTTAATTGTAACAATAGTAATAGCTGACTTCAGTCTTGTGGAGAGTTATGAGAAGACTTAGATTCCAGTCATAGTGACATTTTTTTTACCAGCTGTGAACCTCCTGGCACTTAATCTAAGCCTCACTTTTCTCATCTGTACACAGGAATAATTACATACTCCACAGGGTTGTTGGGAGAACAAACTAAAAATGTCTGTAGATGTACTGTTTAAACAGATTAATAGCATCTGTACATATTCTAAGTGAACAATCTATCCAAATCATTAGCCATCTGCATTTTTTTCATCTTTCAAAAAAAAAAAACTGGAGTCTACCTTCCTGTTACATAACAATCTTCTAAAAACACTGGAGAGAACGGATAATAAGCTCATATTTCTTCTAAACCTAGACATCCTCTACCTCAAAGAAGAGCATGGCCCCTGTGACCTCCGACCTCCCTCCTGCTCAGGGATCTAAAAATAGTGAACCAGATTTGGCAAAACATATATATTAGTAAGAACTTGAAAACATTGAGTGCCAAGAAGAAAACCTGTGCAGGACATAAACTACTTTCCCACAGATCCTTCTTCACTAAATTTTTATTCATAAATATTCAGTGAAAGTCACACAATTATGTCAACCTATTTGATTTTGTTGAATCATTACTAAGGACATTAAATTTTCAATGAATACAAAAAGGAGATATAAGGGTGTAAAAAACAAAACATTTTTTCTGTCTGCAACTAGGCTGTTTTTAGTTAATAAACATTTTGGATTTAGAATATATAAGAAGGAAAATAGCTAAAAGCATTTCAGACTATAATAATAGCATTTCAGACAAACAAGAGAGCATAATAGCCAAGAGCCTGGGCTTTGGTAACAGGAAATGTGGATTTGGGTCCCATCCTGGACCTGACCACCTGCTATGATTTGGGGCAACCACCTACCCCTCTGAATCTCCGTATCCTCACTTGCCCCATTGAGTCACTGTAAGGTTATGGGAAATAACACAGGTAAATGGCTTACCATAGAACTTGGTAATAATAGTGCCTTATATCTACTTTGCTTTTAACCAATTCCAAATACTTTTAGCATATACTTTCCTACTTGAGTCTCATAATAACTAATACCATGAGAAAAACAAGGTAAGGATTAAAAATTCTACCTTATACCCGAGTAAAGGATCTTTGGAGGAAATTTGTCCAAGGTTGTACAACTAACTGGAGTCTTTCTTACTCTATCCAAGGCCTTTATATCCCCATGTCTCCAAATTCAGAACAAGCTGGCCTAAACTAACCCCTCCTCTGTTTTTAGGTACACTTTGCAAAGTCAAAATATTTGATATAAGTTCTCTTCATTCCTAATACTTATCTTAGTCTCTAACTTTTGGACATAAGCTGGTATGAAAACATAAGAAAAGGGGAAGAAAACAATGTTAAACCAAATGTTGTAGCTGGTCCAGGAACAGAATAGATCAAGTACTCATAGGTTTACACAGTAACACAAGTTTTTCTGCTAGACATTTAAACATTCTTTTTTAAAAAGTTATCCTGCTGTGAATTATTAATATATATGATATATTTGTTTAAGTATATGTATGTATTTTACATATAAAATCTTGCTTATAATACCAAATTCAGCTATGAAGCTAAATGTAGAGTTCTCACTGAATTTTTACTAAGAGAATAAATACTGCTGGCTTATTATTCCCAGACTTCCTACTGGGAATAATTGAGGGAGGTGGGCACTGGGGAGGGTGCACACCTGGAGGGCTCAGGAGCTGGCTGGGATAGTGTAATACACATTCTTTCATTACAGGACAAGAGGTGATTTATCTAATTTATTATCTAATTTGAAGAGTAGCCAACTAAAACTCCCTTAAGTGAAGGAAAATATTTGCCTTATGTCTTACAGTTTCTAAATCCTACATTTATAGCCACCTCTTAATAGGGGTGACTTTTCCCTTATTGTATGCATCTAGGGCATTCCCTTGCAAACTTTCTCCTTTTTCATGAGATACTCATTAATGCCTTTGAAACACCCAACCTTGGCAGCAATATGGGGACTAAGGGGATAGCTAAGCCACAGCAGAACTGCTCAGACCATCACAACGCTTTGCCTGACAGCAACAGCTGTGGAAGTCACCAGCTGGTCTCTTATAGTTATTGTATCTTCCCTGCACCACTTCCAGCCAAGATGCATTTCCACTATTTGGGGCTGCAGCTGGGGAAAGTATTTATAGATGGCCTTACTACCATGTGTCTGAGCACATTATTTTACTTACCAAAATGAGTTAGGGAATGAGTTTCTCAGAAAGAAAAAATAAAATCTTAGAACTATGTTAAATGCCATATGGCAATAATTTTTAAACTATTTACTGATTATAACCACATACAGATACTTACTCTGCCATTAAATTCCGGACTCTACCAGCAAAAAGGACAGGATCACTTTTTTCTTCATCACTTGGTACTTGAACAGGCATAAACTGAAAGACAAATGTCCTTTTCCATTAAATTGTTAGGCCTAAGACATTAAATGTTAAATAAAGTAATTTATAAACTATCATCACACTAAATCCCCTGCCTTTCTAGTGCATAGGTTAGAGGATGTAATGAAAAGAACACTGTGCTTGGACTCAGGAGATCTATGTCCAAGCCCTGGGTCTTTCTGTGTGTTAACTAGTATGTCCTTTAACTTTTGTGAACTGTCTCCTTGATTCTATGGTCACCTACTTCCCTGGTTGTAGAGGATAAAAGGAGCAGATGTCTGGAATTTTGGAAGTTGTAAAGCTGTGGCAACTAAGATCTTACTCTCCAAGCTATTTTCTATCACTTCCACCCCTTTGCCTAAAGATGTTATATTAGTAGTATTTTGCCTTTATAGTTTATCTTATCTATCTACCCATATTTCAGCCATATTTTTATCATCTGATCAAATGTTACATTTTGCCATTTCTTCCACTTTTCAAAAAAACACTCAGTATTGCCTTTCAGGCTTTTGCTTAACACTGTATTCTACTTTATCATTTTCAATTTTTCTTTTTTTCTTCACCTGATATTTTGTGATACCTCATCTGCACTCTCCTGGTTTTTATTTATTCAGACTTGAGTCTCATAATAACCAAAACCATATGAAAGGCCAAGGCAAGGATTGTAATTTCCACTTCATACATGAGGAGAAGGAACCATGGAGGGGACATGAACAACATTTTTCTAACATTAATAAGGTTTTGGTGCTCTATTTAAATCATTTTTGAACACCTGCTCTATTTAAGGCATATTTTTGAGAGCCTGTCCTAAGCCAAGATTAACAGGATCCTACTTCTGCTCTAAAAAGATTTATACTTTAATAGCTAGACCAACACTGCAAGAATCAAATGTCATTACCCTTATTGATAGGGCTTAAAAGCAAAGTTAACTTATTTAAAGTTATACAGGTCATGTGGCCAAGATTCAACCCAAGGTCTGTCAGATTTTAAAACTCTTATTTTCCCCGCTAGACTATCATTCCTGGAACATGAGAACGAGGGATAGGAAGTGGTTAGTTTGGCCAGAGGGCTGAGAAAAGCAGCCAAATAGGCTTTACAGAATAGCTAAAACTTGATGTTGGCTTTTTAAGGATAAACATGATCCATAGCTACTGTTTATTGAATCACAGTTGATGGACAACATGGGTTTGAACTATGTAAGTCTACTTATATACAGACTTTTTTCAATAAGTATATTGGGATTTTTTTTTGGAGATTTGTGACAGTTTGAAAAACCTTGTAGATGAAATGCACCTTGAAATATTGAAAAAATTAATAAAAATTTAGGTTGTCATGAGTTTATAAAATATATACAGATGGTAGTCTATTTTATCATTTGTTACCATATAATGTACACAAATCTATTATAAAAAGTCAAAATTTATCAAAGCTTACACACACACCTACAGACTGAACATAGCACCATTCACATTCAAGAGAAATGTAAACATACATGTAACATATAAAATGTGTGTTAAGTGATTGTTTAAGTTACTGGTAAGGCTTCTAGTTAACAGTAGGCCACCAGTAGTTAAGTTTTGGGGGAGTCAAGAGTTACACATGGATATTGAACTGCGCTGGGACAGAGAGGGCTTGGCATTCCAATCTCTGCATTGTTCAAGGGTCACCTGTATAACTATGATCCAGACAACATGCTAGGTGCTTTATATACATTATAGCACTTTATGAATCCTCCTGATTCTAGTCATAAGGAATTGGAGTTCACAAGGATTTAAAGACTGGCTCAAGATTTCTGGCTCATTTCTATTCAACAAATACTGCTTAGGCACCTACTGTATGCACTAAGCCCTGAAGACATGACAGTGAAATCCATGCCCTCCATGAACTCTCCATGCAGTGGGGGAGAAATTCATGACACAATAAGCTAAGTCCACCAATAACAGCTACCAGCCATGAAGCACTTACTGTGTACTGGGTACTTTAGATTAAGGGCTTTATATAATTGACTCAATAATTCTTTGATTCACTTCCATTTGATAGGTGAAGAATAAAGCTGGAAGAGATTAAATAGCACAGTTGAGGCCATGTGCAAGTGGCAGGACCACGATTTGAAAGAAAGATTTGTATAAATAATAGCAGATTTGGATTCATGTGGACCCACTTTCAAATCTTGTTGATCCTGTTAAGAAGTCTACGGGCAATGGTGACTCAGAGATGAAGTTTGAACAAGGTAGTGACATGGCTGGGTCCAAGTTTCTGAGCAGAAACTGCAGTGGTAGGGAGCAGCTAAAGCAAAGAGGAAGCAGCTCAGGGCGGGAAGAACCCTTGGAGGTACTGCCGTCACCTGTGAGAGCTGGGAAGACCAGGAGCAGAGGGAGAGAGGGCGTAAGAACAGTATGATGCAATTGGCATTTTAGGATAAAATGGACAGGAATCATAGTACAATGTGCTATATATCATTTTACATTTCACATTTATTTTGTTAACACCCACAGCGAGGGACAGTGGCATGCTGCAGAAGGAAAACCTGGGCCGGCTTGTTGCCTTGGCTCTGCTGTGTGATCCTGGCAAAGTCATTTAGCTGTTATCCACTTCAGTTCTCCCTCCTGAGAAAGTGACTAGATGACCTCCAAGGCCCTTCCCAGCTGGAACTCTGTCTGGCTTACCACTTAGTATCCAGTTATTCTTTAAATTGGAAAAATAAACTAAGCCACCAGAGGTCCCCACATCACTTATATATCCAGAGCAGTAACCAATCTTGCAAATAAGTATTTCTAAAAATACCCTGTCCTACTCTAGTAATATGTCTTCTATTTGCGTAGTATGAAATCCAAGGAAGAAAATAGTAGGTAAAATCAATGTTCATAAAGTCTCTAACAAAATAACAAACTAATATTTAAAATTGCCATATAATTCATTTTTAAGAAAGTCAAATGATCACTTACAATACACTTGATTTGTACAGCATAAAAGCACATATTGAAAACCCTGAAAAATAAATTGCTGCTACACTGTTAACCAAACGTAATACAATGAACTATGGGTTTGGTTCCTTTTAGTGCAAGTAATATTCTCCATAAAATAATTTTTAATAACTCTCATATTAGCATGACATTTTATTCTTGAGGAAAAAAACTTCACAGAGGGGACAAAATAATTAAAAGTCTGGGTTTGACCTTCATGGGCCTTAGAAACCCCCATGCATCCTGAGAAGCAAGTCAGTGGGAATTCTAATAAAAAGTCACTTCTCTCTGGATAAGACCTTGCCTTGTGTATCACATTTCTGTTTTGGACAAAGTCATTCAAGGCTCACAGCATGAACATACCCTTTTTCTGGGAAGGAAGACCAACCAAAGAGACAACATGACTGCTGTCAGGTAATACTGTCTCTCCACCCACAGCTCAGTTTTCCTTTCCACCTTTATTTCCGTCTCTACACTGACGGCCCAGCCTAACCTCACAGCCCTTTCACCTGGCCACAGGTATTCTGCTCGGCTCCACCTCAGCTGCGAAGACAGACATTGGCTCCTATTTCCTGTTCTGACAAGGTCTTCAGTTTCCATTCATCATCTATTAGTGTTTATATCTCTCCTAACCTGGTTCTGCATAGACTCAGGAACCTGATGTTCACTCTCAGGACCTACTGATCCCTCCCGGTAACACTGGACTTGGGGAGTCAGACACTTCATGTGGCCTGTACCCAGACTCTCAATTTTTGCCATGCCCATGGTGCTCACCACACTCCCTCGGTCCCCTCTCCTGATCCTGCCAATGGAGGCTAAACAAAGGTGCAAAATCTTATGAGCTGCGGCTTCAACAATGTTCAGTTCATGTTATGTTCCATAGGGTCATCATAGCTGCTTGAAAATTAAGTTATTTTCCCAAGGTGAACCGCACTGCCTCCAAACAAAAAGGCTGTTTTTCCAAGAAGTTTTTTGTTTATATTGCTGAAGATCGGTTATCTTTTTAATCATGCAGGTGTGCCAAAAGATGTGATCTTTATACTGAGTTTCTTCCCTTAATGTCTATATGATGGGCGAGGATGGAGTTCCTTAACTTGAATGGAACCTCGCTGCTGCCTGGCAGCCCTTTGGCATCACCCGTTCCTGATCTCCTGCCATCACATTCCACTGTTTCAAATGTGGCCCATACTTCTCAGGTTGCAATTCCACTTGTATCTCAATGGCGTTTCACTTCCAACTTTAGAAAGAAGACAGTGAAGGAGTTCAGGGCATGCTGCCCTGAGATATGACACTTTGGTGTATATTGGTTATTTTGACTGAGGGCAACTTGAAAAACAGCAAATGCAGGGAGAGGGCTTTCTCTGAACTTCTTTAATATGCCTAGTCAGATCCTCTCAAAGGAACTCGGTTGTCGTAAATCCCATCTGGGGAGCTTCATCAGCCAGGAAAGATTGATGCTTATCAGAGGAGGGGGACTAGTACTCACTCCCAGACACACTTTATCACACACAACCATATTTCCCATCTGTCCTCCCTAAAGATCACTTACCCTCCCTCATGTGGCCGATATGCCCCCACACCCTCCCTTTGGTAAGATGGTATAGAAGTTCTCAAATCTCACCACTTTTGTGGGTATTCACACTTTTTATTCCCAGTGATGTCCTTGTATATTAACATACTATTAAACATTGATAAATCTGTATACCTTTCATCTTGTTAATCTGTCTGGTATCAGTCTATTTTATAGACCAACTATCAAACCCTGGTGTGCACTGCCCCCGAGACTGGCTCCACACTCTGTTCCCCTCCTCACGTCAATGTTCTCGACTCCTTCACCATGCTACCCTGCACCACCCTGTCCCAGATGAGTAGGAGACTAACTGACATGTTTCCCATACCAGTGCTTTTTGTTTATACTTTCCATCCCAGAGCATCCCACCTGCCCCAGGGCCTTAGACTGCCTGCAAAATAAAGTCAAAATTCCTTAGCCTGTTTCTAAGGCTCTCTGTTATCCAGAGCCAGTCCTTTGCATGAATACTAAGACCAGTGAAACAGCTTTATTCATTGTTTCCTGACCAATTGAGTACCTTCCTTTCTATTAAACACATGATTATGAGGAGGAAGATTGATGAGTAATTATACTATCTCAATATTTTCAAAGTAACAGAGGAATTTTAATAGGCTGACCTGAGAACTGTAGTTCTACTTATCCTATGATTCTCATGATTTAAGTCTTCAAAGAGAGAAAATGTAAAAGAAAGGAGGGATTTATGAATAACATTTGCAACTTCCTTTCCCGAAAGAACAGAAAAGTCTAATGATAAGGGAAATAAAAGATAATGCTTATTGAGCATTTAGCACATGCCAGAACATAAGTAAACTTATTAAATCCTCACAACCCTATCAAATCAGTGTTATTACCCCCATTTTACCAATGAGAACATAGGCTTACAGAGGTTTAAGTAATATGCTCAAGCACATACAGGCAGGTAGTGGTAGAATTGGAATGAAAACCCCAAATAATACTCTTTTTTTAACACTCTATTTCTCTACTACTGCTTACCAATTCCAGAATTATACCAAGTGCCAGGAGAAATTAGCTTTGTTAGAATAAGTGCATATGTTGGGTGTGTGTGTATGTATTTGTGTGATGGGAGCTTTAAAAAACACCCATTTCAGGTTCAAAATTATAAATCATTTTAGTGTACTTACATACTTAAATAAACTATGTAAGTGTATTTGAACCTTCCCTAAGTAATTAGCTCTTTGGAGATTTACAAAGTGATACATACTTGTAGGCTTTGATCATAACACTCAGTATAACAATCTTTTCCTAAACATAAAAAATATTTTAGTGGAAAAAAAATGCCTTCCTATTACTTAAAATGATGAATTGCCTACCATAAGTACTATAGGCCTAATGCTAGCCACCAGAAGCCCACTATAAGATTTGCAAAGGAATTTTCCTAAAGCAAAATATGTCTGCATGCCTACAGAAAAATTATTTTTATATCTATATTATAATGGATGACTTTAAAGTTGACATGATTTGAATGAAAACAGATACAGCCTGTGAAGAAGGAAACTGGCTGTACAGTCAATGTGAATGCCATGTTTCCATCATAAATCAGCTGCTACTCCATATTGCTACATAGTCTGACTCTGCAAATATTCTGTTTCATGAGATGACTAGCAGGCTCTTAATTTATATCATATTTTGGGATGTTCCTACTACCTATCTTATTTCCCATGCCCCAAGCCAGATGCTTATTAAGGCATACTTATTGGCCAATAAAAGCAATCACTAAAAGACTCCTTAAGCACACCCACGATGCCACAGTATGATTTAAAGAATGACTTTCAGTAGAACCATCCTGTAGACACACATGGCATCGTTGTTCAAGGATGCCGAAAGATCCATTATACAGGGCATGAGGTTTGGAACTTACTGTATTTTTAAGAGTCAAGAGTCAAGAAAATAACCTTTCCAGAAATAAGTCTGTGTCAGGAAGGCAGAGAGGGAGGTGGGAAGAGGTAAGAAAATATTCCTTAACATTACATTCCTAGATTTTATATATCCAATGATTTTAGTAATTAAAATGTTTAATAGTTATCATTAATGAGGGAGGCATGTGACACTAAAGGACAGAGCCTTGAATATACCGACATGTCCTGTGACTCCCCAGAGCAGTGTCTAAAAGAGCCCTTTAACTAATCACTCAAAGGTTATTTTATAAAAAACCATAAAACTAAGACCATATTCTTGAATAATACATCTTGAATTAGATTTACCTAATACTCAAGAAGTTCTAAAAATATATGTTAAAATACTAACTAGGATTCCATTAATTTGAAGAAAAAAGGAAAGAAAGGAAGATGTTTCCAAACAACCAAAACAACTGAAATCGATGTGACTAAATGCACTCTTAGTTAGAGGGTTCTAACTCAGCTACCTAGGGGGTAGCTCAGGCTGGGCCTCCTCAGACATGGTGGAAAAGCTGGTACCCCAGAGACATGCTCAGCTCCTGAGAGTCTTGAGCTGGGATGCGGATATACTTAGTACCTGGTGGGCTGCTGGGAGACATTTTTCAGTTACATTCAAACAGTGGGGAATTAAAATACTCTAAAATCGTAAAGTAGTTAGGAGTCCCTTGGGTGAAAGGTGGCATCCTAAATCTAAAACAAACATAATTAAAATATGAAAACTGAATTTGAAGTCCACAATTCCCATCCTCTTACCCGCACCACAATTCTAATACGTCAAATCCCTACCAATCCAGCTGTTTTAAACTGGTTGGAAGCCATTTTGTTTGAGAAGTTATCGAACAAAGTGTACATTTTTTTCTTTGCCAAAAAATGTTATCCAAACAGGTCTAAGAACCAGCTGGAGAATGCAAATACTATAACTGAAAAGAAAGAAGGAAACAATGCAAGCTGTGACATGGAAAGGAAATGTGGTAATAGTGGTCAGGACAAAAAAATGAGGAATTTGCATACCTCTGTCTCTGTCGTAATGCAGTTTGACTGCTGACACATATACTAGACAAAAAAGTAGAGCTCTGTGTCCATTTCCACAATCTGTCACTAGATCTTGTTTTAGATAAAGAGGGGTAAATTTAGAGGAAGTGACAGCAAACATATGTACGTGGAGCATATGGCTGTGTCTATTCGGTATCTTTCAAATTTGCAGAGAAGACAGCATGGCTCTTTTAAGTATGGCTTTTCTTGTTTTTTTTTTCAAAGAAAACAGGGCTAGACAATCTGAGAAGCTAGTAAAGAAGGAAAAGCAGTGCTCAGAGTACTTAGAAATAATACAATATTTCTTCCCAACAGTGTGTCCCAAAATGTATCCTATGGCACACTGGTTCTAGGAGGTATCCAGAGCAAAAGAGGTTCTGTGGTCAAAATTTCAAAGGCACTGAGAAGTCCTGAGAAAAGAAATCTGATTCATTTTGTTTACTCTGGCACTTCCTAAACTTCCTAGGACACAAATTAGTTTTTTTCTAGAAATATCTAAGTATATTCCAAAAACTAGTGTTTTTTAAAGGCCACAGTTAGGAACACTGAGCTGTTTTTAAAAGTGATAAGGTGTGACATATCATTAATAAACAGATATTTTCAAGGCAGGCAGACAGCTAAAGCCTCAAGAAAAATTTCACTTCAGTTAATCTCATTATGAAATATACTTTGTCCCCCTATGTCATTTGGTATTGCTGACAACCTCTAAATAGCTAAATGACTGAGCTATCCAACAAAGTAAAATAGCATTCTTGTGGGTTAAATTCCACAATCCTGTCACTTAGAGCACTGGCCTCCATTCAGCATGTGTAACCCACGCTGAATTATACATGCAAACTTAGGGTTTTCGTTATGCAATCCATGGATGCAATTGGAAAACTCAGGCAAGAGCTTGGGGACCCACTATTCTGACCCTCTGTCTTCAGAAGTTACCTGAGAGTATGATGAACACCAACTAGATTCAGAAATCAGGGGTTCATTCTACAACACTCCTAGAATCTTCTGGAACCAACTTTGAGTCTTAAAAATCTGTTCAGAATTCTCAGAATGATCTAATCATTTCCCCATTCCCTGTATGCCTCTTCAACTCAAACAGAAAGTGTGTCCTGTGAATGATGATATGAGCTGCCTCCCAGATATAATCTCAGGCAGTCCACGTGCAAAATGATTCCAAAAGTGAGGGCTTCAGACTTCTGCGCCTCTCCCCCAAACCCAACCCACATAAAGGAGTTGTGGGGCTCCATCAGCTTTTGTGGCTCCTTCTGTCAGGAGATGAAGGCATACCATTCAACTTGGCAGAGGTCAGCATTAAAAGGAATAAAAAGATAGGAACAGGTGATGCAAATCTGGCCATCCAAGATGGGGATGCATTGGATTCCTAGAAGAACTCGACATAATTCTAGGGGCTAATGCTGACAGCCTGGGTTTAGATACACAATTTGCAGAAGACCAGGGCTTATTTTGAAGATAGTGATCTGATGTCCAACTTTTACTGGTCTCTCTAGACTAGAAATTCAAAATAAAAGGAAAGGCCAGATCTCCAATTCCAAGGGTACATTTTGAATGACTTACTTCGACTTCCACCTTTGTGAATGGCTGGCAGCAAGTAAGCACACAAAGCTGAATGCTGAAATGAAAAAAGAGAAGGCCACCTTTACTGAGTGATTCTAGTGTCATGGAATGTTACTGAACAATCTTTTCTTTACACACACTTCCCCACATCACGCTTCATATACAGTTTGCATGTATAAATGCCGCACTGCAGCTAAAATACTCTTTGAGCATAGACAATTATTCTTGATGTTCAAAAATCAAATCACCAAATGTAACATCAAATACGTGTTTATAAGTCAGAGCCACAGTTCAGTAGACTAAAGCCCACGTTTGAAGTTTTCTTGAAACCTCAGACTCATGGGCCTAAGTCCCTAGAAATTATACAAGGCCACATATTAACACACATAAATGTATTCCTAGGAAAACCCCTGAGTAATACATTATATTTTCAACTCTTTTCTGATATGTAAAAAAAAAATCAATGGGTCTTTCCGTAAAAGCAGAAACTTTATCATAATTGTCTCAGTTACTACTAAATGTTTCAGTTATGGGGAAATTTTCTAAAAAGTTTCAAATTTCATTGTAAAGCTAGACAAAGGCTTTCTTTAAAGTGGTTACAACCAATCTTTTCAAAGGTAATTTTTGAAATAGTTGTCCCTACTTGCAGCTTTCTGGTACATATGTAGGCTCTCTGGGTGGGATTTCTATAGGATCTTATTGAGCCTCATCTAGATAGATGAGCCAGAAATCTGGCAAAGATTAGTCTCCATGTTTAAGAAAACAACTAACCAAAATGTTTTTTACTATTAAGAAATTAAAATATGATGTAACTATAAAAATTACTTGGAAGAACTTGCTTAAGACAGGGAATTTAAGGAAACAAATTTACAATTCCATAATTAATTATCAATTGCTAATATACAAGTATTGGTTCTCAAATCTTTCATCTGAAAGGGAAAAAAAATCTTTTAATATCAATCCCAAGCCAACAGAGTTAATCCATATCATCTACCATAAAGTAAACTGTTCTTTCATTATTTAAATAAGGTTTTGGAATTCAGTGATTTGGATACTTCTGTCCTGAAAATTCCAAATGCTGTTAAAAAAATGCAATCACACATATTATCTCATTAAACCTGTGTCGTCCACACTACACACAAACCAAACAACACTTCGTAGACTGACACAGAAGCCTTTCCATAGCTGCCCTTTCTCCACGCTTATTACTCCTCTCCCCTAGGAGTCTGCTTCGGTGTAGGATCTCTTTTGAGTGTGTGTCTACAGCAGCATTTGGAGCAGGAGCAATTGAGAAAACTGATTTAGATGTAACACACGCAGTACTAAACATACCACGAAGTAGATCAGAAGATAAAGGTGGAAATGAGAGTTACCATAGGTAAGTGATGCATGGCATTTGGACAAAAGAAAGTTGTGCCTTTTGAACAATTTGAGTTTGTTTATAAGTCCTAAGAAAGCTTTAACTCCAAAAATATTTTCTTCCCTCTCTTTCTTTTCTGAATTCTCTCTCCTATTTTCTTTACTTCCCAGGTTAGGAAGCTAGGTTAACGAAACCACTCTTTTTTCTATCCCTGATCCTCCTTCCAGAAAAGCCTTCTCCTATTTGACCTCCACATCTACCTGGACTGCTGCAAACCTGCTCTGCCTATTAGGGAGAGCCTGCTGACTGCATAGTGAGCCCAACATCCCTGTCTCTGTACGGAACTTAACTTGGGAAGGCCCCAAGGAGGACACACCTCAGGAAATATAAATACACTACCCACCCTATTTTTAGGCATTTCTTTTTCTAAAATGCTCTCATACTAATGTTTTTCCTGACTTCCCCTTTCATAAAAGCTGAAAACCAGAAATTCAAAATCAGTAGTGACATGAGACATGTATTCTAGCCAAATGAATAAATTGATTTCCTGAACAGTTAAAGATAATATAATGCCTGGATATCCCTTACAATTTATGTTCTTTATTTTTGATATCATTTTTTTTTAACTTTAACTACCTAAGACTGAAGCATAACAGGAACATTAATGTCTTAGATGCTACTGAAACCTAAACACATGTAATTGGTCCATCAGTGACCTATTCTGATTTAAATTTATTATTTCAAAGCAGTTCACACACACAAAGTGGAGAAAGTAAGTATGCAGTATAAAAAACAACAACTGACTTTCCGCAGTTGTTTGGATTGTTTGAAAGGCATCTAAGGAGCCCACAGATGCTCTTGAGGGCAAATGAAGATTTCCTTTTAAATATTTCCAAGTGGCTGTCACCTTTCTATCACAATGTTATCTGAACTCTATGTAACAGTATCAAAAGGCAATCCTGGATAAGCCCTTGGGCAAGTGCTCAAATCCAGGTGCTCATATAGCTGTCACCAAAACGTAAGCAGGCTCAGACTTATCCATAGGCAACTAAACAAAAGCTCTTCTGGAGAGAGAGTAAGATTCTACATGTTTTTTTTTTTTTTAAAGGCCTATTTCACTTCAGCTTGCTTAATAGTGAAACTGTAATCCTCTCTTAAATGTTTATAGAAACTGCTGATTCCTATGGTTTTAAAATCCAAGATTGGAACTTTAAGCTTGCTTAGCTATTTTCTCAGCTCAAATCAGACACATCACAACTATTTCAGGCCAGATGACTAAAGTGCTCTGGACTGCTTAAACCAATGTAGTAAAACAACGATGGAGACACTAGATAATGCTATATCTGCAATGGAAATGAAACTACAAAATCAAAGTTAAGTACGATGCAAACTAAGTCACTGAAATGTCAAGAATGGTAGATAAATACTTGAGACCCATTAGAACAGGACAGACAACTGAACCCTGCACATGGGAGATGCTGTGGGTAGATGGGCAGGATGGTCACACTCTCTTCAGACTTACCAGTTACAAGATTTAAGGATCTGATCAGAAATCTTTACTTTTACAAAAATAAGGCTTTTAAAGAAGGAATGAATTATCTTTTTCTTCATTAGAATAAAATGTATATAACTAATAATAGATATAAGCAACTTACAATGTATATCCTTGCCAAGTCCAAGTCACAGTATCCTGTCATAACAAAAGTATTTAAGCTGTGAGTTTAGAGGAAACAATATAAAATAAAACAAAAATCTTATTTTAATATTGGTAGTCACATACATTCTGGATTAAAAGCAGTATGTTGAAAAACAAAACAAGCATATTATTATTGCTAAACAATAGGGAACTCATCTTGGATTTTATGTATATACATAGCATACGTCTGGGACAGGTTTCGTGCTTAATTACTGGCTCAGTACTTACTAGTTGTAGACTTCTGGTTATATAATCCAAATACAATGTGGACTTTTGGATTCTTAGATATATAATCTGAGAATTCAGTTCTCGGATTATATATGTACACAGCAAAGGTCTGTTTTAAATATGTAATGCCCTATGTTTTTATGGAATTAAGTTGCTCTGAATTTTCTTTTGATAAAGCTTTATTGGAACATAGCCTGCCCATTCATTTATCTGTGGCACTTGTCCATTACATAAGGTGCTCTGAATTTCTAAGAAATTACTGTGCATGTTTAGGTATTTTTCTCCTAATCTGAACATATCTGGATAATTAATCAGTTCTCAAAAATAAATAAATAAATAAATAAATAAATAAATAAATAAATAAATAAATAAATAAATAAAAGGGTTATTTGGGGAAAAAGACTAAAGTAATGCATAGTGAAACAATTTGAATTAATGACAAATGTGAACCCATAGGCAGAAATGTAATGCATAAAACTTTGATAGAATTTAATTATATTTTTCCAGTGTTGAGAAACCAGCCACCGAATAGAAAGCTGAATTGATCAAGATAGTTATTAATTACCTCCTACCTTTTTATGTAAGTTCTCTAGAAAAGCAACTTCCTCTCAGAACCAAAATATCCTAAAAAAAAACCCATTCCTTTAAGAAAATGGTGGCATAATCAAAATCTAGAAGACAATGTACCTATTAGCTGGAGCAGAAGAGACTATTCCCTGAGCCAACTGTGGACTTTTCATAGGATGAGAGGTTCTTTTTAGATATTTTCTTATTTAAGCTACTTGCCAAAAGTCCACAGGCAGTTAAGTACTGAGCCAGTAATTAAACACCAAGCCTATACTGCTACTTCAATCATTCTCCATCAATAATGACCACTGAATCAGGAAAAGTTTCCTTCTAGGCTTAATGAACATCACAAATTTATACAAGTTTTCTAATGTCCAGTCTAATGAGACCCTGCATCCTGCAGTGAGCAGAAGCTTAGGAGATGTCTTCCTGTAGCTTAGTATCAGCAAAAACAGTATAAAATATTGGTATCAACAAACATGTGCCTATCTTGCAAACTTTCAAAATTAAATGTGGTGAGGAAAATGAGTCTACCCATCTGCTCCTACCATTTATATATTCATGCCTTTTTCAGATTTCAAAAGTGGCCCACTCCAAAAGTGCTGTTTGGAATCTTCCAAATTCTTCCCATAATAAAGCACTATGCTTACCAGCTTGTTTGGGTATCTGAGGAGGACTGGCTGCACTGGAACTCCTGGAATGAAGGCACCTATAACCACATTGAAATTTTACAACATATTCATTATATGAAGACAAGCTTTACAATAAAGAAAAAAATGAACACTAAATGGTACACAAAGACTGTTTTAAGAGTACACATAAACTGTTTGCTCAATGTCAGTAAATCCTTAGTGTTTACCAAAATGAAACATGTTTAAAATTCAGAATTATGCAAGCAAAATATTAGATGTGCCTAAGTTACTTATAATATTTCATTATTTACATCTCAACTGTTTTCATTTCCCAAATATTTATTTTCAACATGATAAAAAAAAGTAATGACAAAATCAGGACAAAGAGAAAATAAGAAACTCTAGATGAAACCAAATGCCTAAAGCAGGAACTGTTATACATGCTAGAAGTGAGCTCTGACTTTGGCTCTGAGCCTTTTAGCAGTCAATACGAACACATTTTGAAGTATTACTAGTCACTATGAAGTTATATATGAAATTATTCATTACTCTGAGGTTCATGATTTCATCATATTTAAAAAAGGAGTGAACCTTAGAAGGTATTATAATAACTGAAACAGATTTTCTACTTGATGACACAGGACCCCAGGAGTCTGTGAGGGAGTCCTTGGAGGCAAAGAAAAATCTGCCAGTGGTTTTTGCTCAAATTCTCATGTGCATCCTCCCCACCCCAACACATATATCTAAGTACACTCCAGGGAAGAAGGGGTTATGATACTAAAAGAGAAAGTAAATTCACAATGTTAAAAACTTTTTATTGGAAAATTAGAGATGTTCAAAGCAAACTAGCAAGGTATTTTATATATTACTATCAAATCATTTGAGAAATCTCCCATACTACTTTGTCAAATACATAATTTAATTTATCTCACCTGGTTTAAAAGTAATCAAACAGGAACGATTAGTACAAGTACCTTCTGGAAAAACTAGTATCTTGGAAGAAAAGGAATAGATTTAATATTTCAGTCTAATTAATAGATTACTTTTTTAGCCGCTTTCTTATGACTTCACAAATAGCTGCCAATTCTTATAAAACAAAAATGAAATAAAAGTCTAATGCTTGATTCTAATCAAAGCGAGAATCAGATTCGTTTTCCTCTAAAAGAAGTGTAGTCTGACCATTAAAAGAATGTAAAAATGGATTAAAGCTTTGAATAGAGAATATACTTAGAAATACTTCTAAATGATGATGCTCATGACCTGAATAAACTTTTAAAAGTGTAGACTGTAAGTCATAGCCAAAGTTCTTTCTTCTACTGCTATCCATCCTTAACAAAATCAATTCCTACTTCTGTTTCAGTTTTCCCATTAAATGATACTTATTCCTACAACATGTGGTTTAGGGCTGTAAAGAGGCAAAAGGAGGAAATGCTTACAATATGCTTCAAGTCTACTTGAATTAATTGACATATGGAATACAATTTATTGCCCTTTTTTGAGGAATTATTTATAGCTTTTAACATATTACCTTGTTTTTAGTGTGAAAGACATGCAGCACAGACTATTTCCCCATAAGCTGAATAGAATAGCAGGTTGATTTTCTGAAGTTCTAGATTTAGCAATGAATAGATTGTTATGTACATAAAATAAATTCCTGTACTCACAGCAGTTAGTATCTGTATTTAGTTAGTACATACATTTTATAGTAGAGAGGGAAAATGTTAGGTAAATTGCCATAATAATAGGTTATTTGTAAAATAAAAATTATGAATAGATACAACTCCATCCTCTAACTTAAAACATGGGTTTCCTATCACAATCACGTACAATATCAAATACGATCCATTCAGTGGAAATTCTGTGGCTATACTATTAACAATGCATGGATATACAGTAAATCATAAAATCTGAGCTGGAAGGGCAAGAAAAGTCATTAAGCATTTCTAATGCTAGAATTTTTTCTACAATATCCCACCTGAGTGGTTGGTTGCTTAGCCACAATACCTGAAAATTCCAGAGAAGGACTACAAATCAGACCATTCTACCTCTGGGAAGAAAGTTCCTTAAGATGAGCAAATGAGCTGAAACCTATGTACTTGTTAACTTTCACCTACCAGAACTAGATATAGTTCTTAAATCCAAAGAGAAAAATCAAAACCTTATTCCAAATACCATTTCCTCCCAGACACTTTTTAAATCATTCCTCATATGTGTTGGTTTTTAAAACCTCCTGGTCATAGGCCTCTTGGTAGTACACATCACGGTGGCTGGCCAGATTACTGCAGGGCCATTAGCTCCGTTAGACTCATTTGTTTTCACCTGGGCCAAGGTAGAGGGGTACTTTTCAGAATCGCCCAGTAGGCTTTCTTAAGCCCATAAGAGCTGCCCTTCCCTTCCCTTCAAAAGACATTCCAGGGGAAGGGGCAGGTGAGGTGGGAAAGTTTGGAAAAGTTCTACAGGTGATTCTGATGCGCCATGAACTGCAAAGCACGGTCTAAATATACTTCAGAGATGATTAAAAATCTTTATCACCTTTTCTGTAAACCCATTATATTGTGGAGTATAACTGAGCTTTAGCATCTTGTCTTTAAAATAGTAAACACATTCAGAGGCAGAGAACTACTTTTAATGACACAGAGTAAAAACTGGTTCAAAGAGTTTGAAGAAAGAAAAAGAATGATACATTGAATTCCATGGACTGTCTCATGGGGAAGAGCAATTCTCATGGAGAAGAGAATTCTTAACTTCTTAGTTATGAGGACTTCGTTAATTCATTTCTTCTGCTTCTATTAGGCTAAAGACATCTAGCAAAGATGTCTCCAGATATTGCTATCTGTGGATCCAAAGGCATATATATTTGCAAATGTACAATAAATAAATGCAGGATATACTTAAATGAACATCTACTGTGTTTACCTGGGGCCATTCCCCTCCTGATGTTGCTCGCCTTATTATTTCATTTATTGTGTTTTTTCGAGAATCCGGATCTACACGGGACACAAGCACTGGTTGCACAGCTCGTAATATTCCTTTAAAACAAATGAAAAGTCATAACCAAGTCATTTTTTGGCTAAAACTGCCATGACAATGATACTAGATAAGTCATAAAACAAAATTTATGGGTAATTAGAATATAACAAATCAAAGAGAAAATCTTAAAAAAAATACCTCTAATTCAAAATTTATCAGAATGTAGTTCCCAGTTTCAAAAGATAAGGTGGATATTTATACCTCAAACTATCCCATTGATTTAAGAGAATCTAGCAACAAGAATATGAATAGAAGCAAGTATAACGTTCTCCCTAAAAGCAAAACTCCCAAATGCTATTTTCTCTTTCTCTTCAATTGGCATTAAGCCTTTGGAATATACTGTAAGATTATCTTGCTTTATTTTAGGAATATTCTGAAAACTGATTATGTAAATTCATAGCACACATGACTGGGGGCAGTTATTTCTCATTTTACTGACATTTTCCGCACAATAGTCTTCTAAGTAGGTAGCTTCCTAGCATGTGCAAAATAAACTTCAATTTACCAAAAATCGATTGCTAAACTACTTTTCAGGGAAATGCCATATTACACAAAGCAAGGTGGTTACACTGAAAAAAAGTCTTAGCTGAATGACAAAGCTTTTAGAACTATTATTTCTCCAGAGTAGTAGGACTATATCAGGCAACTTTTACACCACTCTCTCATCATTTGATGCTCGAAATAACCTTGGGACAACTGGGAGCAGTTTCTTGGAGACCAAGACCTTAGGGAGAGACCAAGGCATCTGGTGGAACAGACATTTCACTTGCTTCATTATTTTTTATGGCAGGAAGCATTTATTGTTCCACATCATAACTTTCAAAGTTACACATGGGCCCCTCACAGAGATTTGGGGGCAATGATGTAGAAAACAGAGTTAGGGGAAGACGTGGCACATTTATCAGCCTAATACCCTGTTGAGAAATTCATGATATACCAACCAAATACTTTGGTTAAACTCTCTCAAAACAAATCAAGCATTTTGGGTGTTTGAAGGCTGGTTTTTCTGTGTATAAGTACAGAAGGAGGTGATGGGACAGCAATCAAAATAAGATTTATATAAAATTATAAGGGTACAGATAGGGAAGTATCTACTCTTCTTTCATAAATTCATTCTTTAAATATATAGAAAGAAAATCTGAAGTGTTCTATTACTTAAACTTGTTTTGAAGTCTACCAATAGACTATATATAATTTTTTTAAAGCATGAGCATGAAAATATTTTATTATGTTATTTTACAAGTACTTACTGCCAATCAGAGGGACCTGCACGTTCTCATATCGAGATACCATAGATGGTAACCCAGCAATGACACAGGCAATTCCATCAAAGAATGTTGAATGAGGGGCAACAACAAAAATTGGTGCTTCCACAGGACTTGCGATCTTTCCTTTCACAGTAACTATAAATCCCATTGAAAAGAATATGGCCTGACCCAGAAACTTCAAAACTGGGTGAGTAATTTTCCTTTGGAAATAAACATAAACAAGATGTAATTAGATTTGCCAATCATATCTAACAGCAGGGCTTTACTCTACAACATAAAGTGTCAGAACATGTCACTTAAAAACAGGAGCCAAGAGGAATAGACAACACTTATGTGGAGCTCTTTCTGCAAGGCACTATTCTAAATACTTTAGGTATTTTGATTTTTTAATCCTCAGCCCATTTCATGAAGTAGATATTATTTATTGTTATCCCCATTTCACATAGATGAGAAAACTGAGGCACAGAAAAGTACATTTTCCCAAAGACATATGGTTAATAAGTGGCCCCATTATTCTGTGAATTTAAAATGATAAGAGTGAATTTTCAACACGCATCTCTTCTGAGAAATCCAATTTGGTACTTTTCTACCAAGGAGTCTCCTTGGGAATCTACATTTGTGTAACAAAGATATTATCTCCCAAAATGCTTTTAGAACTCTCATGCTGAAACTGTCCTCAGAGTTATAATAGGAATAAGTTTTTTAAAATAAGGCTTGTTACCTGTATCATTATAGCTTAGACATCACCAAGAATCTTAAGTAGTAAATTCACCACCTCATTTCCTTGGAACAGAGATACACTTAATTCCAGAAATCAAATTGTTTACTTTTTAAAAAGAATCTGTCATTAAAGATTATTTAATTAATCAAACTGTGCCAGGAATTGTGCTGGACACACATGATAAGAAAGATTCAGTCTCTGGCCCTGATAAGCTCAATGAAGGATGAAAACAAAAAACATACCCCTAGAAATGCAAACACAGGATAGACACCATGGTATGTGAACAAGGATAGAGATTCTCATGAATAATAAAATAAGTGTGTTTCCCACAGGACAGCTAATGAGAGCTTTGAAAAAAATGGGCTTCCTAGCTAATTCTCTCAACAATCTTGTAATAATAGAGTGAGGAGCTGTTAAGCAACTACTGAGGAAGTTTCTCTGACTTATATTTCACAGTAAGGAGAAGTGAGATCACAAAAAGGCAAAGTATATTTCCACAGGGAAATGGCTGTATCTTCCCTTCTTCCCCTTTAGTTTAGAGTTGAGATGTCTATTTATGCAAGGAAAAAAAGCTAAACCCTTCACTGAATTTCCATGCCTCCTATTTTTAATTTAGAGTGACATAGATTATGACAACTACATTCCAGATATGCCATATTCAGAGTCATTAAACACTTCTATTTACATGTTTTAAAATGGCTAAGTTTGTGCTGCATAATAGCTTCAATGTTAACTGAGAGCAGTTAGATACACTTGTCTCACTGACAAAAGCAGAACTTTCTTTTCTAAATTTATTATATCTGCTCTCTGACTTTCATCATCCTAGGTTTTCATAAGCCATTGATGATAGAAACCAAAGATAACCGAAAGAAATTGGTGAGTTAAGAAAACGATTTCAAAGTTTTTATGACAAGCAATCTTGAGTTATAAAGCAAAGGAATGTTATTTGCAAGGACTGCAGGGCCATGAATGAGTTCTCTGGAGGCACTGCCAGCCTTGGATTCCGTTCTACAGCAAACCAGCCTTGTGTTTAACATTGACATGTGATCACTAGAACATAAATTGAAGAGCAAACTGCATGTTTCTTAACAAGATTCTAGAACAGGGGTTCTCAAAGTTTTATTCTTATTTGAGATTTGAGTAAAAAAGGATAGATGATTGCATACATTAAAAAATATACAATTTTAAGGGTCCAGTTTCACAGAATTCAACAGTGCCCTAAAACCCATCTGTGTATTTTTATGAATCCAAGGAGCCTACCTTAAAAGCCTTCACTTTCAGGTCATACACATGACAACAAGGTAGTTCTGCCTAACAGGAACGACCTTTTACCGGTAACTTTGTTCATTCATTCATAATCAGTCTATTTTCTAATACCTGTGCTAACCAGGTGAATGCCTGAGAAGCAGTTCCATTCTGCCCCCATGCTAATATTTTTAAAAGCTAGGATATACCGATTAGGAATTAAATGGTCATTAATAATCACTAAAGTAATGAATTAATATACTATAATCGACCCACTTAATAATACTACTCCCAAGAGTATGTATTGTGAAAACTGCAAGTGTGAAAACTGAAGAAAAGCAAAAGAAAGCCAGGTATTTTTCAGCTAAAAAGGTTCCAGATATATTGACTGGGTTTTTCAGAAACAGGGATCTATTGCCTTTTGGCAATAACCCATGCGATAAATTCTGAATAGTTTTGTCTGATACAACTAAATTATTAAAAGGAGTAGGTAGCAGTTAGGTAAAACTTTGTATCACTGACTAAACTATGATAAATGCTTCCTTATTTTGATTTACCTGACATTTAGACATAATTATTTCTTACCTCCTCCAACCAGTTATCGGGTGGTTCGGCTTTTCAGGACAGCACACTGTTGAAATTGCAGCAAATGGCCATGCCAGCAGTAAAATTAATGCAAGCAGTAAGGTACGAATTGGAAGCAGTATGATTCCAAGAAAGTAATTCTGAAAGTCAAAGTTGACAAAAGTAGATGAATGGACATTATTTTAGCACTGTAGCTATCAAACAGACACATGTAAGAGGAAAGTTTTATGTTATTCGCACATTCCCTCAAGGAGGAATTGGGCATTTTCCTGCACCAGATGTGGATCTAGGCACAAAGAAAAATAAAACATGATATCTGGTCTCACAAAGCCCACTATGTAGCAAAAGAACAGTGAAGAAACCAGGTACAATTTAATCTGCGTATCAAGGTAAGAGAATGGATGATGTGGGGTGGGGGTGCGGCGGGGAGTGTAGGAACAGAAAAGGTAGGAAAGGCTTCCTGGAGGCGTTGAGGGTGAATAGTCTTGAAAAGACAAGCAGAAGTTAGCAAGGCAAGAGGGGGAAATAGCTTTTTAAGAGCTGTAAGAGGAAGGAAGGGTGTTAATAAGGGCATAGAGTATGAAGAAGTAATTGCATTATTTCATACACCCTCCAGGCCTTTATAACTAACAATAAGAAGATGGAGAAGGAAAAAGTGAAAATAAAAAATCCATAAGAAGAATGAAAACTAAATAAATAAGAATAGCAAATAATACCAAATGCTTACTATGTACCAGGCACTCTAAGCACTTGGCATGTAGTAACTCATTTGATTCTTACAATGTGAAATTGTTTGACTCACAAGAAAGAAAAGGGCACAAAGAGAGTTAAGCTAAATTGCTTAAGATCACAGTTATTAAATGGTTTGCTTTATCTCCAGAGACTAACATTGTGCCTAGAACATAGTAGATATGGAACAAATAAATTTGGTATGGTAAATGATCCCACAATTGCTACCAAACACTCATTTCAATTCCATATTCTATTGAGGAAATGAAAGCTAGGCTACCTTTTTCTATGCCACTAAGTAACAGACCTTAAAAAGTCAAAAAGAGAAGGGGAAGGGCAAAGCTGAGCCCTATAATGAGAAGCAAACAGGACAAGAGCCTTTCAGCAAGACATTGGTCATCATTCAAGATTTAGCCTGGATTAATCACATTAAGTCATGCTTAAATGAAAGTATATCTATCTTTTAAACTGGATCATACAGACAACATTGTTTTTCAGTCTTGTCTATTTAACTCTTCCCTTTGCCCAGATGTTTCAAGCTGTTGAAACATCTTTGGTATCTCTGGTCTATATGGCTTTTTAATTAAAAAAAAAAACCAAAAACCAATACCCAGACTGTATTTAATTACAATCAATCCAAGAAGCAAGTTTAGGTACAGTATACAATTTGTAGACAACAAATAGCATAACATAACTATCAATATTAAGATCAGCAAACAATGCCAAATTCTTTCACACATTATCTCACTTAATTTTAACCCTCCTTTGATGTATTATAAATTTCAACTTGACAGATGATGGAAATGAAGTTCAGAGAGGTTAAGTGATTTGGATAAAAGCATACAACTATTAAATGGGAGGGCCTGAACAGATCTTCTAAGAATAGTGATCATTCCATTAAGAGCTCTTGTAGAGTTATTTGGACATGTTCTTTAAGCAGTAACGGGCCATGCTATAAAAAAAAAAAAAAAACCTTGATGATTTACTCTGGGTGCAATATAAATAGTTACAAATATGCCACTTGATCCTCCCTCCAAAATATGAAGCCAAATGAAGGGACATATTTTCATTTAAGTATGGCCGATTTGATTAAATCAGACAAAAAAATGAACCTTCAATGACAGTCAATGTGTTTAGAAGTGTTTCAGAAGTTTTAAGATACAAAGGGAACATCTGCCCATTTAAAGGCAGATTCAATTTTTAAACATTTTATTTCTTTATGAAGAGGTACTACTGCATTATCTTCCTCGTCATCTCTCACACCCTTCTCTACACCCATCTGCCACTACTTTAACCACCAGCCATGAGGCTTAGTCTGGCACCTTTCATAGTAGAGGACAATGGTCTCAGTGGATACAAGAAGGCTATGCAAAAATCACAGTATTTCTGATCCAAAGGAAAGAAATGTGTGAGGTGGGCAGGAGAACATCAAAACCATTTTTTTTCTCCCATGCAGAACACACAGGACAAACATGGCTTGCACAGTTTATCTTGTTCTTTGATCACTAACTCCACCAAAGAGGAAGTCCAAAGAGTCAGTGTAACTGCTAATGGTAAAAGGAGCACTTTACAAGAAAAAGGAAAGGAAACCTCCTTTTGGTATATAGCCAATTTTTAACAGTGGAAAAAAGTTTGGGCTACTTCTCATCCTTGAATCTGGTAGGAAATATTCGGGTGAGGGCTGTTTGATTCAGGACCAAAAACTCTTGAACACCGTAAACTGATCCACATTATCCCTTTTCCTTGATTCTGGTTTCCTGCCCTTGATACCCCTGCTCAGTAGATCATCCAGCCTTACTCGTTCCAAGTCCAGGTGCCTGGGCTCTCCGCCTTCTTCTCTCACCCAACCCATCCCAGACCATCTCTCTCCTACCCTAAAGCAAAACAAACAAACAAACAAAACTTGCCCAGACCCGGTCTCCTGTGGTAGAGCGGCCACCTACTGCACTCTCACAAACTCAAGCCGAAGTCCTCACAGATTCATTGGCCCCTCTCAGCAGGGCATTCCCCCTCCTTGGCCAGTGCCCAGCTCAGCATCCTCCTGTTTAGCACCTTTCTTTCAGACCCACACGGTCTTGGCATCTTCCCTTCTCACATACACCCTCAGACGGTCCTCCAAGGGCACGTTCTGCCCCTTGCAGACTCACGGCCCCTTCAAAAGCCCTCCCCTCTCAGATCTGCACCTCTTTCCTCCTCAGAGCTTTGTTTCCAGACTCGTGGCCCCCTGAGACACCTCCCCTGTCACATCCATGCCTCCCTCAGACCACCGCCCCTGTCGGACCCTACACCTCTCTTGGATTTGCCTCCCTCGTCAGACTTAACACCCCTCAAGGGGGTCTGCTCCCTGTCTCAGGAACTGTGCCACTCACCTGGATCCGCCTCGTTTGTCAGACCCACCTCCTCGGTCAGATCCACGCCCCCGGCCGGCATCCGCCTCCGCTCGGGCCCACGCCCCCCACCAGGGTCGGCTTCCTCTCAGATCTGTGCCCTCACCGGGTCTCTCCCTGTCGCAGACCTCGCCCTCACCTGGATGCGCCTGGCAGCGCCCATCCGCGTCTGCTGCACGAAAGGGTTGGGCACCGGCGGCGGGAAGAAGGACGCCTGGCGGGGCACCATGGGCGGCCGCAGCCCGGCGTTTCCGACGCCCGCGCCCGGCACCGTGGCCGCCACTGCCGCCGCTTCCGCGCATCGGTTCATGGCCGAGCCGCGCGTCGGGCTGGACCGAAGGAACTGATGCGGCGCAAGAGCGAGCTCCGCCGGCGAGGCTGTGCAGAAGCCTCCCAGGAGTCCCGGTCACCGGCGCCGCTTCGGGGCCTCTGCGCAGGCGCCAGTTACCTAGACGCCGGCTGACCGCGCCCCGCCCCTCCGACGCCGGCTCCATCCCCGGAGCTCTAGCCCCACCTTTTAGGTATCTGGCTCGTCCTCTTTGGTACCATAGCTCCGTCCACTTGGAGGTGAATGTTTTCCCTTCTGAGCAATACGTCCAATGAGCGAGTTAAGGCAGAGTTCTTTGCTTTAAGGCCTGGCGGGCCTGTACTGCCAATCTCGTTTACTGGCTCTGTGTAGTTGGCCAAATCCCTGTCTCCATGAGCCTCAGTTGCTCCCTTCTGTAAAGTGGGGAGAAACAGAACCCAGATAACAGAACCTGAGTCCAGCAACCCCCGCCCTGGCCTGTTCCATTGTTAATATATCCAGGGTGGATTTTGTTTACTGTGTTTTATTTCTGTTGTAAGTTTTGTTTTTGCTTACACCAGTCTGACTTGGATGTTTGTCAATTACAGCTGAAAGAGTCCTGACTGATGTAGAAATTGGCAGGAGGAGTCCAATCTGTTCTACTCAAAACATGGACAGTTCTCCAAAGGAAAACTGAGCTGCAAAAAAACAAACAAACAAAAAAAGTATTTCCCTCCACACCAGATGAGGAACCTGGCCCCAAAAGGGAAATGACTTGGGCTGTGTCTCCACGTTACCCTGAGGAAGTTCAAGGACTTATCTGGTCCTGTGTGGGTGCTGGCTGGGGAAAGGGAGAAGAGGGATTTTTCCCAAGCCCTGAATCCTGTCTTATCTGAGGGTTTCAGCCCTGTGCAAGATCACTATGATTTCTGTGAGACCAATAAATGACAATGGAATGTTCTTGGGGCAAAAGCATTTATATCTGGCTTTATTCTCCCAGTGGCAGGTCGAGCACTAGGATCACATCTGGATCCAGCAGTCTGCAGATCCACAATCCACCTGTCTCTGCCTCCACCCAGAGCACTGGGTAGAGCTCTTTATATTCTGACTCAGTCAATAATAGCTCATTGCTAATAGGTGTGAAAGTATTAGCCTAGCAGGCCAATTATATCATCAAGTAGTTTAAGGTCAGGTGAGGATTCTGGCCATAGGAACTTCCCTTTTTCCCACAGACCAGTTGGTCAAACTCTGAGTGGCTGAGAATCTGAGTATGGAGATGGTTAATGACTTATTCTTACTGGTTAACTGCTCACAGCAGGCTGGAGGCCAGGATTAGAATCTGAGTTTGGGCCCTGGGACAGCTGCTCCTTCAAACCTACCTGTTATAGAATCAGAATCTTCCAACCCCACCAGATAGATGTGTGGCTTTTGGCTACTCACCTGACCTCTCTGAGCTTGTATCCTCATTTAGGAATGGGAAAAGATTGATTCCAACCCCATAGGATTGTGGTAACAATTAAATAAGGCATGTGTAGCGTTCATAGAAAAGTGCTCAAGAGATGGCAACTTTTAGTTATTATGTTATGGAGAAGCTGAATTTTCTTGGTGTAACAGAGAAAATTAGTGTATTACAGCCATTGATATAAACTTGCCCAACTTTGGGATCAAGAGGGAGCTGGCAGACCCTTGTGGGTCATTAGCCAGGAACTGAGCTGTTAGGCAGAACACAAGAGGAGAAAAGATAACCAAAATCACCTCAAGGGCCCTGACCATCCTTCACCCCTCCCCTGCCAGCCCCACCATAAGAGAGAGGCCTGGAGCCTAGCAGGGGGAGAAGGGGCGTCTAAAATAATCCCAGGCCTTACATGTCTGTTTGGCAGCAGCTCCAGACTTTCTATAGAGGAGGGGTTGGGGTCAGCCATCTGGCGGGAAGGAGGGCCAAGGAGTGTACTCATTAATAGCAGCTGTGTTTAGAAAGCACACTTATTACTCCCCCAGCTGTGTTTATTTCGGGTGGCTTTGGGGCAGTGGAAGGTAATGCTGCTGATGGAGGCTCTGGACTGAAGGCTAGAGCTCTTCTTTCAGGTCGTCTTTGGCCTTGACTTCAGTGGTTACCTAATAGCTATGTACCTGAGGCAAATCACTTTTCTCTGAGCTTCAGCTTCCTCATCAATAAAGATTGGGCTAATTATGGCCTCCTCCCTTTAAGCTGTTGCAAAGGTTCAATGAAGTGATGCATGTAAAGTGCCTGGCACATAGTAACCACTCCATTCATGTAGGGGAATGTCATGGTTCATGGTTATCAGCAGTAGCATTAGAATTGGCATGATGGTCAATGAAGAAAGACTCAAAGAGGAAGGGAAACTTGAATGAGACCCTGCAATTCAAGAAACAGATTTGCTGCTGTTGCAGGGCTCTTTCCCCAGGACAGAAGGACTCCGGCTCACCCATTCTGAGGATCTCCTGCCATTTATTTGGGCAGTTTTGACCTTCTCCACAAATGCCACCTGTGCCCTGCAGGAGCAGAGATTTAGACTTTAGAGGTTTCCCCTTCTGGCTGGGGCTGTGGCCTCTCAAGTCTTTGCACAAATAGCCAGCAGACACTGCCACTCAATTGGTGTCTTTATTCATACTGTTGACATTTCCCATAGGGAATTGTTGAAGGGAGAGGAGGGAAGGGCTGAGCGGGGAGCCAGCTTGGTTTTCCTCCATCCAGTGGAGGAAGTGACAGGGTAGGGATGCACTAAATAGAGTGAACAAGGGGACCATTGCTACGTGTGCTGAGTTGCATTGTACAGTGACTCCAGACAACCTGAGTCCTTCTGTCAGGAAATTCAGTTTCAAAGTGGGAAAATAACAAAGATCAGAAGAGAAGAACAAAGTGCACACAAAGCAAACTGCTGATGTAGGGAAGGGTCTAAGGCAACCAGCAGTGAGAAGCCAGTGTTCGGGATGGCCATGTGGCCGTGCCCCATTCCACTGGCCCATGGCCGGGCCAGGCTGTTGGGCCACCAGTGCCCTCTTGAGACAGTCTCTCTGTGTTGGCTCCCAAGGTGCTGTAAGCCACAGAGGTGGTGGAGGGATAAGAGCCTGAAGTGTGGCAGCACCGGGGCAGCCCAAGGCAGGGCCGCATTGAGAATATCAAAGCATCTCTTTGGGGGTGGCTCTGGAGGGCTGGTGGGAGACGGAGGGGGAAGGAGCACCTGGGAAGGATACATTCAGCACCTTTCCTTGGGCACAGGGCAGAGCCACTCTCCAGAATCTTAAATTACCAGGTGGGGGTGAGAATGTTGATTAACTACAGAGCTGAAGGCTGCCAAGCCTATCTGGGTCCCTCCCTGGAGCTCAGCGCCCAGTGAGCAGAAGGCGACAGAGAGGCAGGCCTGTGAGAGCCAGGGCCCAGCTCAGCAGCCCAGCCAGTCGGATTTGATGCTTCCAACCTTCACACTCTTCAGACTTTGGTTCTCCAACTTCAGGTAATAAGCACCCTTGAAGAAATAGCTGTGACCTGGGATGAGAAAGAGAGGCTGTGACCACCCCATACTCAGACATTGCGGCCCATGGAAGTCTCCTGGAGTTTTAAAATTCTGAATGCCACAGGGAAGAAACTTTTAAACCAGAGTAGACCCCTCTAAGGCTAGAGGAAGAGAAATGTCTGGGGAAGTAAGCTCTCTGAGGCCCTGTTTCTTCATCTTTAAGATGAGGATAAAGACACCAACCTCTCAGGGCTGGCAGTGAGGATTAAATTAGATAATATGTTATTATTAATATAAATAGCAGTATTCTGCTGAGCACAAGCACCAAACTAAGCCCTTCCCATATCCCAGAGGTGGCAAACAGGAAGGCTTCTAGCCCTGTCAGGCCCACACATGGGTTTTACTTTGTTTTGTTTGTTCAGAATTCTGAATAAATTGCCAACATGTAAACATCTGGAAATTTCACATATAGATTTCTCACTTCCTTCTAAAACAGCTAGATTGTCTAATGACACTGGGCCCTTGTTCTTGCAGGGCAGCAATCATCAGAAGCAGAGAAGCCACTTCCCCTATAAATATGCTTCCTGGTTTACCACAGACTCTACCACTCCCTACTGTTTGCCTTGCTTGCTTCACTCATTTGTGCTACTGGCCTGGCCCACATGGGCTTTGGAATTCATGACTCCTGACATGCATGGTCTCATTTATTTCTTGTAAAAGCCTGACACATAGTAGGTGCTCAATAGATGTTTACTCCTAAAGATAATCCTTAACCAAGCACCTGATTGTACACTACTTTTTCTAGGACAAGTAAGACCTTTCACACTGGAAGTCAGGGCAATGTGCTTAGCATATGACAGGGGCTCAAAAAAGTCTTTGTGGAATTTATTTGAAAACTCCTCTAAAAAGCCAAACTGGACTCATTTCCAGGGCCAGAGACCTCACAGATGCTTCCTCAGAAATATGGTTTTCAAACTCCAAATTCTATCCCTCGCTGATAACTGGTTGTTGTGTTTTGTTCAGCAAGGGACCATGAGCAAATTGAGTTGAGTGGCGATCTTTGCCACATCAGCAACAGGGCATGACAAAGTCTGTCCTGTTTCAAATGGAGCTATCCTTCTGCTAATGGGAGGTAGTCACAAGGCCTCCTGTGGAACCCAAAAGGGCCTGGATCAAACCCCAGAATGAATCTAGGGCACAGAGCCCAAGTTTCTCGCCTCAGGCAGGCCTCCCGCCCTCTCCCTCCCTGGCTCTAGGCCCTGCAGCTGTGAGGGGCCTTTCTGGGTCTTACTGCCTGGAGCCGGCTGAGTGAGCAGAGGTCAGGGGTCTGGATGCCTTCCCAGCACTGGGCTGAAGGGGCTGGTTTGTTTTCTTGGGGCACTGCATGCCTCCCTGCACAATGAGGGAGTGTGTGCTTGCAAGAAGCGGGGTGCTAACTGGGGGTGGAGAGTCCTAGAAAGCGGACGGAGGCTGGGGCAGCTCACCACCACCCTGCAGGTCCACCACGGCATCCAGGTTATCAGGGATGGCGTTCCAGGCATCTGCAATGAGCTTGGGGAAGCCAGGGTCCATTTTCTTCTTCACCTCATTGTATCTGCAAGGAAATGGACATGGTGAACGAGTGGGGCCTCCCTAAAGGCCAGTGCTCCCCCAGCTTGGATGGGAGGGCCCAGTGATGGCTGCTGGGTAAGCCTAGGAAACCAGACCTAGCCATTCAGGGAGGCAGC